TGTGACCAGGCCAGTGCTACTTCTGTCTGGCAGGCTGGGTCTGGGCCCCACAGCCTCCAGAGACACAGAGGCGTGTGGTGGGGGGGGGGGGGGGGAGTGTGGGTGTAAACAGCAGCTGATCTGCGACCCCCTAACCCAAAGGGGCTTGTCAGAGGAAAATGGCAGTGAGCCCAACTGCATGGGACTGAGAAGGACTTGGAAAATGATCTAGAAACAACTTAGACCATGCCTATAAGAACGGCCAGCACCTAGTAATCAAACATGTGCCTGGCACTTTCAGCCTGCAGGGGGCTCAAAGGGGGCCAGCGCCTTCCTGCTGTGGACTATCTACACGCCCAGGCCTTTTCCTGCCCACACAGGCCACGAGCCTGCACAGGCCACGAGGGGTGTTAATGCAAAGACACTCTGTCAGCAGCTCCCTCGGGTTCTCCACAATCTCCTCCCAAAATTGCAGGTCTCGTCCAGGGCGAATCTGTCCCCATAGGACACTGGTTGATGTCTGGGGACATATGTGGTTGTCACGACTGGGGGTGCTACTGGCACAGAGCGGGTGGAGGCCAGGGACACTGCTCAGCACCTGCACTGCCCAGGACGCCCCACCACAGAGAGTTACCTGGACCCACTGTCCCCAGTTCTGAGGGGGAGAAGCTCTACACTAATGAATATCAGATGCTTAAAATTATCTGTATTAACAACTCAGAAACATGAGAGTTTCTTACCACTCAAGTTTCTGCTGTTTATTCTGAAGTTTAGAGGTGCAAAAGGTTTTGAGGACACGATTCTGCCACCTGAAAAACAAAAACTGATTACTGCTGTTCATGGGGGACTCACTGTACACACACAAAATGAAAACGAAGCTCAGAGGAAGAAGAAAAAGTTACAAAAGAAGAAATGAGTGCACTGAAAACACAAAAATCAAGAGTCCTGTCCATCTGCCTACAAGTAAGAGCAAACTATATAATGCCTTCCATGTTCAAGCGTACCCTACAAATAACTTTCCTCTTAAACGTGTTCTCAAGTTCTCCCAAACTCCCCCTGGCATTGACCCTGACTCCAATCCCCAGGCAGCTCCACAGATGGCAGTGGCTCAGCCCTGGGCCATGGAAAACCCCATACAGCCACACAGGGAGGAAGATGCAGCCAGAAGAGGAGTCGGCTTGCGGCACCTCATTTAATGTTAGGGGAAGACAGAGGGGGCAGGCCAGTGTGTATACAGCTGCTTCTTAGGAAAACCCACGGACAAAGCAGGAGTTTGGCACGCCTCTGGAGGGGAGGGGAGGGTGCCCTATCTCCATGGACCTTGGTCTGCGAGCAAATGTTCTACATGCTCAGAGGTACAGTCTGAGAGGTACGAAGAGCAATGCCCCAAAGCCCACACAGACAGAAACAAAACTGAACTGTAGATTCAGGTCAGTAGCAGCCACACAGAGTGAGTCACTGCAGTGGCCACTACCCAAGGGCCACGCAGGGATGTGGGCTACAATGCTGGGGAGACAGCCATGGGCAGCAACCCTGGGGCAGCGGGGAAGTGAACTGTGGCAAGGGGCAGGGCCTCTCCTCAGGTGTGCCCATAGTGTGACCATAATGGAGGAGGCAGCCCTGAGGCCTCGGGAGAGGCCTGAGGATGGCTGAAGGGTGCAGCATAGCACCTGCAGATGATAGTTTTAAAATAACTCAGAGGCCGGCCTGTGGCTCACTCGGGAGAGTGTGGTGCTGATAATACCAAGGCCACAGGTTCGGATCCCATATAGGGATGGCCGGTTAGCTCACTTGGGAGAGCGTGGTGCTGACACCACCAAGTCAAGGGTTAAGATCCCCTTACCAGTCATCTTAAAAAAATAATAATAACAAAATAAAATAAAATAAAATACCTCAGGAACAATACGACCCCCCCCCCAACACACGCACACACACAGGGTTCAGCCACACAGGGATGCACACACCCCAGCCCCCCAGGACGCAGGGCATTGGTGCAGAAGGCAGTTGAGACCATCTGGGCCTGGCTGGCTTAGCCTTTCGACTCTCCCATCTACCCGTCGATTGGACAACAAAAATGGGGGAGCCCTGCCTCTTTCCCTCGCCTGGCCTTGGGGGTTAAGAACGGCACCCGGGGCTGGCTGACTAGCTTACATGGCTGGAGCATGGTGCTGGTAACACGGGCAGGAGGCAGAGTGGAAATGCCACCAGGAGCCAGGCCTCCCTGGGCTGGGAGCACCCTGACACTCTGCCTCAGGGCCGCCCTGGAACTGAGATAAGGAGCTGGACGTGGAAGCCACTCAGACTGGCACAAGAAGGAAGTGGTGCTTTCTGAGGGATGGCACTGAGAGATGGGGGCCGGTGCTCCTGCCGTCTCATATGAGGACTGGGGACTAGCTCGGGCACAGCTCTGACCCTGTCTGCATCCACAGGGCTTCACTGTCTGGGCCCTAGAGAGCCCAGGAGCTGCAGGTGGACTGTGTGCTGCTGGCCGCGGGCCCCGATGGCTGAACGCAGTTGCTGCAAGTCAACCTCACAGCCCACAGCCCTGGCCCAAACGTGCCACAGGTCCTCCTCGAGAGGGTGGTGGTGCTGGGGTCTGCACAGTCAGGGTGAGGCAGCTGGAAGACTGCAGCACTCAGCCCTCCACTGGAAGATTCGGATCCAGAAGGAGCGGGTTCTCCTGCTCCTGAAACAGAGCTGTGGTTTCACATCATCATCGAGCAGCATCCCACAGTTACATGGCAGACCTCCGGGAAGGGGGGCTCTGAGCTTCTGTGGAACTATTTAACATTCTCCCTCATTCTGCTCAGTAAGAAAACTTACCGAGGGCGTGTGAGCATCAAGAGCACAGCGACACGCCCAGGCCCGAGCTGCCTTCTGCATGACCCCACGTGGGGGTCTCTCTACAGACCACACTTCCTGTGACAGATCACAGGGCTGGGGAAGCGGAGCACGTTACCTTCCTTCATGTTTGCAAATCGCTCCTTCAGCTGGTGATCCACCTCAGGACCAAAGGCAAAGTTATTCACAAATATAACACTGCAAAATAATATTCTGGTTGAGTAAAACGAAGGTTCTGTTTCCACACGTGCACAGAATTCCAGAGCATACGCCAGCCCTGGCCGATGCCCCGCCCGTCCCGCCTCCTCTGCCTCCAGATGCAAACAGAAAGAGCTGCACCTGGGTCTCAGGGTCCCTACAATGCCTCTTTTCCACGTGACAGAAAACACTGAGCTGATTTCCACAGCCAGGGACCCATTATGAATCTCGATAGTTTTAAAATCAAGTAGTCTTGACATTCGCTAGCAGTGCGCATTAGGTGAAAAGAGAGAAGCCGAAAAGCCATGAACGAGGTGGGATTCTGAAGGCCTGGCAGGAGCAGAATGCCCAAGACAGACACAGAAAAGAAAACTAAAAGTATGTCCATCGGCCATAATCAGGGCATCCTTGGGTACTGTCTGACAGACACCATGACCAGGCTAGATAAACAGAGGACGCTCTCACAGGAACCCAGCATGGGGGGGAGTCCCAGGCCCACCATCCTCCTCTGGCCAGGGTCCCGGGGCTGCCCACTGTCCCCACTCAGGGACAGAGCTCAGAAGGCTGGATGTGAGAACGTTGGCTGCATCCAGGGGGCCGCAGCCGTCAGAGGAGGGGCAAGCCCCCAGGGACTGGTGTTACCAGGAAAGGACACTCCACAAGGCCCACCTCCAAAAGCCACACTCTGGCACATTCCAGACAAAAATAAGTAAAAAAACAAACCAAGGCGAGGTACAGGGCTGGCAGTCCCCAGACAACACCCAGAAGTGACACCCATGCCCAGGAAGCCAGGTGCACTCTGATTGTCACCACCAAAGCCCATTCTCTTTGGAGTGTATTCTGAAGCAAAGGCCGTGGGGAGCCCACATTGAGCTCTGGAGTCCGCCACAGGCCAGAAACTCCCGTGGCTTCTAACAGGGTTACAAGACTGAAACCACAAACTGGACGCTGCTGATGAGCCCTGGCAAGTGTCACAGGCCCACCCCCCGGAGGGTGCCTTGCTGTACCACCCCCACCCCCACCCCCACCCCCCGCTCCTAGCTCTACCTACCACCTGCAACAGGATCACTGACCCTGTTCAACAGGGACATCTGGGGGAATCCCATGACTCTCAAGAGAAGGACAGAGCACCTGGAGGTACCCGACTCAAATGAAAAATCCTCACAGGAAACCAAAAACAGAAACTCTGAAAGAAAAATCCCTATTTTCTCCCTCAACCCTGGGCTTCCAGTCTCCTAAACTGTAAGAAATAAATTCTGTTTCTTTATAAATTACCCACTTTCAGGTGTTCTGTCATAAGTGACAGAAACCAAACAAATACAGAACACCTAGAAGGAAAGTGGGGAAGAAAAGTTGGGAGATCCAGCTGTAGCTGAGGAGCCACTGCCGGTGAGCTGGCTGGCTCTGCCCAGGGAGGGCACTGTGGGTGCGGCACACTCCAGCACTGCCACACAAGGCCCGGAGGCCCCATGTTCCTGCTGCAGGCCCAGTAGGGTACTTCTGGAGCCAAGTCCTGCCAGCAACACCTGGCTTCCAAGGAGGTCACCAGCAGCATGCTCGGCAGCAATCAGCCCCCAGGACAAACAGGACACCGGGCGGGAGGGATTGAGACACAGCTTCAGGAGCTGGTGGACAGCAGGGCTGGGAGCATCTCGCGAGTGTATGGACAAGGCATCCCCTCCCTCCACTGGGCACAAGGAGCCCACTCCAGAAGGGGAGAAGGAAGAACTGGGCAGACCCAAGACCCAGCCCAGGGTGGGGGGAGGGAAGGAACGCCAGAAGAGGCTGGGCTAGGACGGCAACCGGGCCCTGCGTTCAGGACTGAGGCCACAAGGACGAGCACCTGGGCAGGCAGTGCAGACAGCTGCAGGGGCCTGACTCACTGTCCACAGGGTCTGGTCTGTGGGGTTGACAGGGGCTCTGGGGGTCCCCCACGTGGCAGCTGCACTTTGCAGGCCCCTTGGCCTGGCTTGCAGAACACCCGATGGGCTTTTGTGCTCTGGGAGGGAGACCCTGACATGAGCAGGAGGCACCCAGGGAGAGAAGGGAAGCTCCAACTCCTCCTACCCCAGCTTGACCTGACAGCAAGGCCACCCGATCGAAAAGTGCAACAGCCAGCAGGATAGCGACGGGCCGTCCCAGTCCCCAGCACACCCTCATGGGCAACAAAATGCCCAGCACCTGCCCCATGATCACCCACGTCCGGCCATACCTTGTGTTGGCGATCCGCTCTCTCCACTCTTCAGAGAGGAAATCGCCCCTTTCCAGCTGGAAGACAGAAAATGAGAAGAGACATTAATTCCTGCGCATCTCCCTTGGGGTCTGTGCCCATCCCCGCCCAGAGCCCTGTGAGAAAGGAAAGGTGAACTACGTTCAGGGTCGCTGACGGGGGGGGGCAGGCAAGAGAAGTTGGGGTGCTGCTAGCAATCAGTTTCGCCAGGAGGGGCGGCCGGAGGACTGAGCTGAGACCAGGAGATCCCCCAAGCAGGGTCTGACCACACGGCGTGGAGCCAGGATGGGCTGAGGGTGATAGCGTCCCATCTGAGGAGGACAGAGCTAGGAAGGAGGGGTGGAAAGTGGACACAGCCACACGAAGAACACGCTGGAAAGCCACGACGCTGTGTCCAAGCACTTTCTCACAAGAGCTTGAAAGTGAGGCATGTTCACCCCGGGGCCAGGGCCTGCCAGCAAGGGCGCCCCAGGCATAGACAACCCCACTGCAGAGTGCAGGATGTGCACAGGCCCCAGACAGGCTGCAGATACTACACATGGCCGGGAAGCCACCAAGGCCAACCTCATCCCTCCTCCACTGCCCACAGCAAAACGGCACGCAGAGAAGGGGAGGCCGCCTGCGGGGACACAGAAGCTCTGCGGACGTGCTTCCTAACCCAGTGCTGCCTCTCAGCCCAGGGGCCTGCGCTCACTCCTATCGGCCGACTAATGCCACTTTGCCTCCTTAAGGCCAAGGCCTGTCAAAGAGAAAACAATTCTTATTAGTTGTCCTAATTGCTCAAAGCTGTAACATTTAGAAAACCAAGAAATCTGGTTTTATAATTCTTCAAAAACACCACCACTTCCATTCCTAAGTACATGCTTGAGAGAAATGAACATACATCCACACAAGAACCTATAGGCCAATGTCTGCAGCAGGCAGCACAACTCACACCACACAAAATGTGGAAGCAGCCCAAATGTCCACTGACGGATGAACAGACACAGCGCGGTCCATCCACACACTGGAACATCACTCAGCCATGAACAGGAACGAAGCTCTGACACACGCTACCTTTACAGCTTATAAAAGATGTGATCTGCATCATTTGACCCTCGTGAGAGAAAGAGCCCCCTGCCCCGCGGTGCCCATGGGGTGACCGCCTCCTCTGGGTCTGCCTGGGACTTAACAGGATTTAGCATGAAAGTCCCAAGTCTTGGAGAACAGAGTCGGCCCCATGGCCCGAGGCTGCATCCTTAAAATGGCAGCTGTAAGGCCCACCCTGGTTGGCTTTGGGAACCTGGGCTTCGAGGGCCCCACCCTCTCTGGCAAGAGGGGTTCCTGGGCCTACACTGTCCATGCAAACAGTATGGTTTAAGCTCAACCTTGCCTTCCTTCTGGACTCTGGACTCTCACACCTGCCAGGCAGGCAGGGGGGCTGCGTGACCCACCCCCAAGAAACCCCCAAGAGGGGCTGGGTCTCTGTGCGCTTCCCTGGGACAACACCTCACATGTGTCACCACAGCCAGTTGCTGAGGAGGAAGCGCATCCTGCGCAATTCCCCTGGGGGAGGATTCTGGAAGACACCGTCTGGACTACCCGCCAGTCCACCTCATGTGCCTTTTCCCTGAGCCAACCCTGCTCTGCATCCTTTTGCCGAAATAAGCCACAGCCAGGTGGACAACCTGTGCTGAGTCCCAGGAGCCCTCCCAGTAGAACTCAGTGCCTGGGGTGGTTCTGGGACCCCAACACAGGTGCCTCAGGCTCTTCCTTATGTGGCCTCTCTCCCCTTCAAAGACCACCTGTCCAGTTGGAACCCTAACCCTCCAGGCCACGCTGTTTCAAACCATGGCACCACCACTGGTCTGTGGCCTCACACATGAGCTCTGTTCCTCCCGCAGGCCCTGCCCAGCTCTGTCCTGCATAGGCAGAGCATGACTACCTGGGCACAGCGACCTGGCTGAATCGTGTCTGAATCGCGGGCCAAGTGTGCTTGAGCTGATGGCATCTGGAAAGATGCGCGCATATTCCAGGCCCCACAGCGGGACCTTGGGAAAGCCAGAGGGCAGGCAGGGAGGACACCACCCCACACAGCCCTGAGAGTGCGCATGTCCTCCACACAGAGGCCACAGCCAGCAGGAGAGAGAAGGACCAACTCAAGCAGAGAAGCGAACCCCGTGCCATTAGGGAAGCCCACCCTCCATGAAGCACCCAACAGAGAAGGCTGGAAACACCCCAGAGAATGGGCGAGAACATTCACCACCCAGCAGCCATGCTGCGGATCTCTGTGGCTCTGTCATTCTGCCCGCGTGACCTCAGCCAGGCCATGGTGAACTCAACCCAGAGCAAGGCCAGTTCAAGATCTGTCAGCGCCTCCAAACACAGCACAGCCCCTGCGCAGAGTACCAGAAAGTGCCCTGCAGAGGGAGGTCCACAGCGGCCTGGGGCCTCCCTTACACAGCCACCCCAGGTGCTGGAGGAAACACTCTGGAGTCAAGAGACCTGCTGTGTACCAGGCCCATCACTAGGCGCCAACAGCACAGAGGAGAGCCTGGACTGATTTCTGACCAAAGCTGGCTCCAGGGCCCCTACAGAACAGACGGGGACACACGGGCAGAAGCCAAGGGAGCAGGAGTGGATGGGAGCTCTGACCGGGTGAGGGCTACGGGCTGGCAGCCCCGGCCTCCTAGGAGCTGACAGCTTGGACGGGGCCAGAGTCGGGAAGCACAGAGTCGGGAAGCACAGGGCCAGGCCGCCTGCAGCAGCACACTGAGCTATTTTTAGGCTCTGGCCGGCCTTCTCCCGCCTCACTCCCTGAGTAACGGAAGGAGCACTTGGAGCCTGCCAACCAGGCGCCGCGTCAAAACCACAGAAAGCTGCTCGGAGAATTTTTCAAATATCAGGACACAGGCTCCCGCCACAACTGGGCATTAAAGCAGTCGGGACAAAGACTCTCACTGCACCCTTCTGCAGAGCGGCTGGCTATTAAATGGGACGCTCAAGAGCGGATGCTGGAGGCACAGCTGGCACAGATGCTTGTGTGCTCATTTCTGACACCCGTCACCAAGGCCATGAAGAATGGTGTCTCTTTCTCTGAATATGAAAACAGCTCCACGCAAGCAGTGCCTCTGGGACCCCAAATCCCACCAGGATGGCACTGAGCCCCAGGAGGAGAAGGTGAGGAAGGACCAGCCCCGGGACACCCCCTCTAGCCTTCCCCCAACTCCACCTCCTCCCCTGGCCGTGAGGACCAGCCAGGAGCTCATACTGCATCGGGATAAACCACCGAAGGTCACGCACAGACCAGTCTGGGCTGTTTCTGGGAATCGTGACAAGGACAACTCTTACTCTATGTGCTTGGAACTGCTTGGATCTCCCACCAGGAACATGACACATTTTTCCTTTCTTTTGGAGGCTGACTGGTACATTCTCTAAATCTAATAGCATGCATTTTAGGAGATTGCAAAGCCTTAGGAAAAGGGTGACCCACGGGGGAACTTTCAGCTGGAGTGCGAGCAGATACCATCCCCGGGCAGGAAGGTGTCCTGGAAACAAAAAACAAATGAAAACCAACTGGGCTTAGTACCTGGTCAGCCTGAACAACAGACGCCAAAGAACCTCAGACACAGGAGGGACAAGAGAGATCAAAAGAGCCAACCCCAGCTTTGCTGAGGGGAAAGGGTTCCAAAAGAGGCTTTCACTGAGAAAAAGGGCAAGAGAGCGGGGCCCGCGGCCCTGGATGTGCAAGTTCTGGGGCAATGGAAATGGAGCAGAGCAGAGGTGAGCGTCCCAGCTCACTGGAGGAAACCAGCACTGCCCGAACCAAACCACACCAGGCCCCACAAAAAAGGAAAAGTGGAGACCAACATCACTCATGACACAGATGCAAAGGCTCCTCCACAAAACATCAGCAGACGGAACCCAACAATGCACAGGCAGAATCACAGGCCAGGAACATGGGGAAGGCCAGGTCCACAGTCATCATCCATCACGTCGAGAGGCCAAAGAATCAAATTACATGATCATATCGACAGATGCAGAGAAATCTAACCAAATACCCATTCATGATAAAAATGCTCAGCAAACTAGGAATAGAGGGAACTTCCCCAACTTGATGAAGAACATCCAAAAAATACCCGTACCTAACGTCATACTTACCAGTGAGAAATTCGAACAGCACAATCAAGGCCCCCCTCATCCCTACCAACCAATGTCACACTGAAGTCCTAGCTCATGCAACAAGACCAGAAAACAAAACAAAACAAAAACTGTCTTTGTCTATAGGTGACAAGATTGCCTACGTAGAAAACCCAGAAGAATGGACAAAAAAACTCCTGGAACTAACGTCATAGCAAGGTGTGAGGACATGAGGTTAACATACGAATGTCAACCACGTTGTTCCTGAGCGCTGACAGCATCAGCCACCGGCGATGACACACAGCAGCAGGAGCCCTCGCTCACGGCTGCGGGGAGCGCAGAATGGAACAGACGTGTTGGAAAATGGTTTGGCGGTTGTTGGGCATAACTTTGCGCGCATGCGCCCTGACGCGCACGGGCGCCATTTCATGCGCTCCGCGGCCACCATTTCACTAGCGCTCAACGGCACGTAGCTGCCAGCCTCGCCCTTCCGGGTCCCAGTGATTCAGCAACTTTAGTTCCGTATTCGCGTAAAGCCTCCCCACCACCTCACCCTATCCTTTTAAGCCCTTCTTATTGGCTCTTTGCTTGATCTCTCATATCAAACCCCGCCCTGCCCTTTTTCCCTATATTAGCTGTGCTGCCCTGCAAATAAACGGAGTTCCGGCTTTGACCACTCTCCTGGCTCGGTGGTGTTCTTTCTGGGCCCCCGGGGAGGCAGGTCCTGGGGGGGAAGGGCCGTACCAGCGACACTCATCATCCCGCTCAGCCCCACAAGGGACCCCCGGCTGGACCGGGGTCTCTTCCCGCTCGGTTTTGTCGGCCTCTGGCTCAGGGAGGCCCGACAGGCGGTTTCTTACAAAACTAAACATGCTCTCACCATGAGACCCAGCAATCAGGTTTCTCGGTATTTACCCACGGGAGCTGCACAATGATGTGCGCAAGGATGGTTAGAGCCACTTTATTCACAACTTCCAAATCTGGAAGCAACCAAGATGTCCTGCAACTGGTCAATGGATGAATGAATCATGGTGCACTCAGACAAGAGTATTATGCCGTGATGAGAAGAAACGAGGTCTCCAGCCAGGAAAAGATAATGAGCAAGCTTAAACGCATGTTACTAACTAAAAGAAGGCAATCTGGAAAGGCTACACACTGTGTGATTGCCACTACAGGACCTTCTAGAAAAGGCAGGTCTATGGAGACAGTAAGAGATCAGTGGTTGCCAGGGGATGGGATGGGGGATAAAAAGGATGGGCACAGGGGATTTTAGGGCACTGAAACTACCGTGTGATACTGACGGTGGACACATGTCCAAACCCACAGAACAGATATCACCAAGAGTGAACCCTGACATAAACTACAGACTTTAGTTAGTGTAACTTATGACTACTGGTTCAATAACTGTAGAAAAGTCTGAAGGGAGGGGACAGCAATAGGGTGGGCAGCACCTGGGGATGAGCCGAGAGCCCATCTGCCCACTGTCCTTCTGGACAGCGAGAGCCAAGTTACCATGGGACTCTTGACGGTTTGGTTTTGCTGCCACTACAAACAGGGCTGAAGGGTCCATTCTTGACTGGGTCATTGCTGACAGCTAGGATTAGTATCAGTCCTGGTAGGCTCGGCGACTGAACAGTTTACTGATCCCTGGTGCCTTCACCTGCCCGTGGCAGGAACCTGGATCCAGCATTTCCAACAGTTGTCAGGACAGCGATGGCCACACAGGGGCCAGCCTCTCCCCTCCCTGCCGTGGGGTGAGTCCCACTCTACACTCAGGTTCTGTCCCAGTCCCCCCATGCCCCGATCAATTCTCCAACCTACAATCACACACGCGGCTGCAACTCAACAGTCAGCACCCCATGGGAGACATGTCTGAGCTGGTCACCATGACAGGGAGAAGGGGGTGGTTCTGGGAAACCTCCTGGAGGCAGCAGCAATAGGACTGGCCGCTGGAACTAGGTGGAACCCATGCTGGTCTGGCCTCCACCACCGTGCGTGTGGCTGTAACACTCAAGGTCGGGAGAAGGGAGCAGCACAGTCCAGAACACAGCAATGTCTGTGCAAGGAAAGCACATATCTACAATGCCACCCCCACAGCATTGCCTTTGTGGTCTGCCAGCTCACGTGTGTGTGGCAGGCACGCAGAGCTCCAGATAATTTACGAGAATTTAGTACAAAGCAGGAATCAATAGCGGACAAAGGAATTCTCTACTCCTGGAAGCTCTGTCCACATAGTTAACATACCCAAACCATGAAGACGACCTTTGCTTCCTACAAAGCAACACCTTCCCACCCACGTCTGTCCCCACAGCCACTCCGCCGGCCACAGGTAAGAGGAAGATGTGCAGCAACATGCACACAGCCATATACATGTGCAGTCTCACGGCTCACTGAGGAAAGAGCTTTCTCAGAGGGAGCCCCAAGTGCTCCTGACACTACCAGGAAACAAAAGGGCCCACCCCACGCCTGCCACCTTGTCAACGAAGAGTGTGTAGCACAGGAACTGCGGCCCTGCGAGAGGAGGATGGGACAGGGAGCAGTGGGGGACTTCCAAACAATGACAGGGCTGCCCCAGGACACCATGAGGCCAGCACCCAGGTGGCCTCTGCACCCACCGGCCGTGTGTCCCTGCACATTGCGTGAGGGCAAAGGGCTCACACTGGAGTGGATGGGAAGGGAGAGGCCGACAGAGGCTCCCATGCGCAGGTGGCCCCCATGAGCTCCAGAAGGGAATCCACAGGGAGACAGTCATTCGACTGTGGCCAGAAAGGAGAGGGGACCAGAGAAGAGGACGGAATCAGAGAGGGCGTGAGCAGGCGACGGAAGCCGCAGGGCACGGAGCGAGGGCACTCACTGTGTATTCTGCATGCTTTTTTCCATACCATTTCATCCACTTCCTGAACTCTCGGTCCATGGTCTGGAAGGGAAGAATCAAACAGCCCGTTACGAACACGGGAAGCCAGGACAGACAGGAGGGGCCCTCTCTGAGCATGTCCCACCTCAGACGCATGCACGTGCCACACACACGTGCACCAGCCCCCCAGCACCACTCACCTCCGCGTACTTGGCTGGGATGTCCGCTTTCTCAACGCCATAGTGATGTTTGCAGTTGGTGGCCGCGGCAACCTGGAGCACAACCTGGCCCACACCTTCAATCAGAGAGAGACACATCAGATGCCAGATCCATACCCAGAAGCAGCTCAGATCACCCGGGGACACCACCCAGGGAGGCCCACCCCAGAGCGGAGGACAAGGGCCACTCTGAAGTCAATAGGCAGAGGCCAGTAGTCTGCACAAAGACATGCCATGTTCTATGAGGTCGTTTAGGACACCTCCAACAAGCTAGACTCAAGCAGAGCCCCACGAGGAGACAGCCAACACATCTCCTCACCCATGACGCCACTCCGTGGCCCCCACAACTGGAATCCATCCCTAGTCACGGGCCTACGTGGAGTTAACTGTTCACACACAGATGTGACTTCGTGAGACTCAGCAGTGCCTGGAAAGGCTCCGATCCACCCCAAATTACCCCCAGGTTACTAGTGCAGTGCAGAGACACACAGTGGTGCAGCTGATCAAATATGAATGTGCCTCAAGAAAGCTCATCCACGTGACTGGATGGGGCCTGAGCTGGGACTGTAGAGGCAGCAGGGACAATCCCACAGGATGGACTGGGGGTTTTAAACCACAGTTGTTTCACAGCATCAACAAACAGCCCGTTGAGCAAGCCCGTCAGCCCAGGGCCTGGGCAAAGCAAACCACAGGCACCGTCAGAGCACGGTCAGGGTAGAGGCAGCATGAACACCAGGGGCTTTCAGAGCCAACTCTCCTGTGTCCAGTCAATTCTGCACATCCAGGAATGTGCCTCAGCTGCCCGACTTTCCATGTTGAACACACACTATTTAGGGACATGTAGGTGAAGGTGGCCAGAGCTGGGCATGACAACAACACCAGGACTTTATCTATAAAGGACAAGCCTTTCAGTAGATTCTGTGGTCTCAATGTGTGCGCCCTCCAGAATTCACATTGACACGTAACCCCCCACGCAACAGGATTTACTGGAGCCTTTGGGAGGTGATTAGGCCAAGAGATGGGATTAGCACCTTGTAACAGGAGTCGAGGGGACAAGCCTGGCCCCCCTGCCTCCCGCCTCTACCATGTGAAGAGGCATGTTCAAGGCACATCCTGGAAGCAGAGGCCAGACCCTCACTAGACACTGACCCTGTCACTCCTTCATCTTGGACTTCCAGTCCCAAGAACCACGGGAAATAAATTTCTGTTGCTTGTAAGTTACCCAGTCACAGGTATTTTGTTAACAGCAGGAGGAAAGGACTAAGATAGTAGACACAAAGAAATTACACAGCCTTAGGCTGGCCAGTGAGCACGGCTGGTCAGAGCACAGCTTTGTAACACCAAGGTCCAGGGTCTGGATCCCTGTTGCAACCAACTGCCCCCCAAAAAATTAAAATAAAAAAACTACAGCCTTAAACAGCTGTGTAAAGATGATTAAGCTGGCTTTTGAACTGCAGTATATACATTCTTAACACATCTATGTACTCAAAAAGGGCTTAAACCAATCATGACGTCACCAAAGCAGTCATATCCGTCCGTCTGCGGTGGCTCTCCAGGTCATGTTTGAGGCAGGACGTTCCAGTCTGCGAGCACAAGGCTCGCATGTCACTATGAGAACAGCAAGGATATTCCAGGGGAGGGCTGTGCATGGCCTGACCCTTAGGCAGACAGTGATGCCACCAGCCCTGCTACCTCCATGGGGTGGTCCTATCAGGAGTTAATCCGCCCCAGCAGTGGTGCTGGAAACAGACAGAGCCCTGAACAGACACTCAAGGTCTCCCTGCCTCCAGGAGCCCTGCTTGGGTCCAGAGGATGTCCCACAAACATAGTCTGTAAGGCTGTGAGCGCGGGAAGGGGGTGAATGAATGCCAGTAGTGTAGTGGTGGCTGGTCCCTGAGGACTCACTGAGACTCAGGAGGGAGAGGAGTGTCGGGAACAAGTGGGGCCAGATAAGGGGGCCAGGAGACCTGGGGCTTTTCCTCTGGACAGGACAGGTCTGGCCTTGATTCTACAAGGACTGCCCAGGCCGTTGTGGGAAACACTTGCCACAGGGAGGGGCCGTGGGCACAGGTGGAGTGATAGGTCTGGGCAGGCCTGGTCAGCGAGTGGCAGGTCGAGGAAGGCTCCGGGCAGGGCCAGTAGGCCTTGCTTGCTCAGGGCCAGCCAAGAAGCAGGGAAGGAGGTCAGGCTTGGTTTGGGGCATGCGGGAGCCAAGCAGTTTCTTCCACCTCTGGGTGGAATCCTGGGTCTGAGGAAGGCCAGGGATGAATTTACAGCAGTGGCTGGGCTGAGGGGACAGGGACCCAGGTGAGGTGTTAATGGGAGCCTTGCCCATCCAGCTGCTGAAAGCTCTGGTGCTGAGGGCACAACTCCTCCACAGAGCTCTTCTGCACAGAAAGGCATGGCTACCGTGGGGTCCGGCCTGGAATAAACAAAGACTAGCGGCTCCTGCACCGACACTTACCACTGCCCAAGTCCACAAACAGATCATCCTCAGTCATCTTGATCTCATCAATCATCTGGGCCACCAGGTCAAAGGAGGTCTCCCCATACACCTCCGGGGAGAAGGGTTCGTAGTTGTTGAGCTTCTCTGGGTCTGTCACCGAGTGGTTGTACACCTGCTGCAGGATGTGCCGGAGCAGCCCGTTGGACGGCCGTGTGTTCAGCTTCATGGGCTGCGTGGTGCCCTTCCACTGGGGACACAGGCAGCGCCGCATGGTCACACAGACCACAGGCACCCTTGGCCCCAGTGCCCCCATGCTGGCCATTTTTCCCAATTTAAACAGAATTGTGTGCATGTGAGCATGCATGTGTGCTAGTGCACAGCTGGGAAAGGAGGGTGCAGGCAATGACTCTTTTGTGCCCGCTGTGTGCCACAGCCTGCTTAACTGTCCCCAACTTGGAATCACCAAACTGTCCCATGGGGCTGGCTGACCAGGGCCAAAGGGCCCGGAGGGGGGACACTGCACAGCGGGCTCAGGGCAGGGCATGGAGCAGCTGGTCTTCACACAGCTCCAGCAAGGCTGCTGACCACCCTCTTCTCCACCACGGACCACGGGTACAGGGACGTGCCACTGCCTGCCTCAGTGGTCCTCGGGGAGCCCAGCTGCCAAGGACATATCCCACCCAGGCCAGGTTGGCCATCCCCACCCCACACTGCACATTTGGACCCCTTGGAGGGCTCTAAAGGGGTCCCCAGCACTGCTGAGACCCACCCAGGGAGGTGAAATGAGACCCGAGTGTGCCCCGAACAAGGAGCCAGGCCTGCGGGGAGGGGAGCCCACCTACCAGCTGGTGGATGCTGTCGATGGCCCGGTTGTACTTGTCACAGAGCCTCTGCATGCTTTCGAAGCTGGAAAAGGCAAGGGAAAGGCAAGGGAAAGGCACGTTCGGGACCTCCTGGACACAGGACGGGAGAGCACACGGACAAGGGCAAATGGGCACAGCTGCATTCCCACGGCCAGCAGTGGCCCATGCAAAAGGGCCTTGATTTCCTTCCTGGTGAGGGAACCCCGGGGCCAATGCAAACGCATGGTCAACAAGGCTTGGCCAAGAGTTTCGGGCTGAGGAAGTCCTCTGCTACAGGACTACATGCACTTCATGGGCAGGCGGGACAGGTCGAGGCCCACAGATCAAACCCAAGGTCAAGGTGTGCCCAGCAAGTGTCTGTTGAGAAAAAGGGCTTCCCCAGCAACTCATGAGAAAACGCCCTCCCTCCACCCAGCTAAATGTGGACAGAAACCCACCTTGGGCCCCCTGCAGTGGGCCTTAAAGGGTCTCACTTTCCCTGGCTGGGGAGAGCCACCACAGCCCCCATCAGCCCTAACTCAGCCAGGCAGGAGAGCAGCCAGGGCTCTGAGGGCCACCAAGCACATGCACCCCAGCGGCAGGCAGACTCTGAATAGGGGACTCTGCTTCTGGCAGGACAGGCGGGACAGGTGGGACAGGCCTCCATTGACAGCCCAGCTCTGCAGAGGGGAGAGCGTATCCCCTTTTTACAGTAGCATGGCTTCAGCCAACAAATACCATTTACAAAGCTTCTGATGTGTTCAAAGATATGAGCAGTGTGTGTGAGACACATAAGGAGAAAGTCTCCAGGAGTTTTTAAATGAGACTAGATTCTCCCAGACAGTTTTTATTTGGGTGTTACTCTTCAGCCCCTAACCACACCAACATGGAGTTCTAATACAGCTGACCCTCAAACAATGCACAGGTTAGGGCCAACCCCCCAAGCAGTCGAAAACCCATGTATAACTTCTGACTCCCCAAAACCTAACTGCTAATACTCTACTGTTGACCAGAACCTTTACTTGTAACGTAAAGGCAATGAACACCTGTTCTGTATGTTATTATACACTGTCCTCCTACAGTGAAGTAAGCTAGAGAAAAGAAAATGAAATTAAGAAAGTTATCATGGGGTTGGCCGCTCAGCTCAGTTGGGTAGAGCATGGTGTTATAACACCAAGGTCAAGGGTTCAGATCCCCGTATGGAACAGCTGCCAAAAAGAAAAAGAAGAAAAAAAAGATGCGCAATGTAGGTGTTGCTGCCCACACACTCGAAGCTGTGCTGTTCACGGGTCAAGGCTGTCTGTATTTCTACCCCCAGCAGCCCTGGGAGTGGAGGCTGGGTGAGCCACTCCCACCGCTCTCCCAGAGGACCCCACGATGTGCAGCCTCGACAGCAGGAGGCGCTGTTGCTGGTCTGCAGAGGCAGGATTTCCCACCTCACTTGTACCCAGCAGGGAAGTGTCCAGCTGGGCAGCTCGGGCCACAGGACAAGGACTGACCGTGCTGGCCAGCCATACTGGCCTCAGAAGAGCTGCAGGGGTGGCGGGGGCAGGCCTCTCTCACTGCTCTCTCTACCCTGGTCTGGCCAGCCTCTACCTGGAATGTCACTCCTCTCGTTAGGCTGCTAAACACCCTTCAACAAAACAGGACAATAATGTCTGTTCCACCTACGTAACAAGGTTTCCAGGGTGCAGGAAAAAAATCAAAGGAGGAATAATCTGCGATGTCCAAGTGGTTCTCACCTGGGGGTGATTCTGTACCCTGGGGACATTTGGTGATGCTCCTGACATGGAGCAAGCGCAGGCCAGGGACACCTGGCTCAGCACCTGCAGTGCCCCAAATGTCCAAAGTGCTGAGGCTGAGGAGCCACCACCTGTGCGAGGGACGGTGGCTCAGGGGCTTTTCTATACCACCTACACATGCATGTAGGCGGTTTCCTCCCCAAGGCGGGGGACACCAGGAGCCTAGAAGAGGCTCCAAGATGCCGGCTGAATAATCGGACCTTCCTCGCACAGGGACCCAAGGGGAGCCCGACACCCACAGTCCTACGCTCCCCCAGCACTGTCCCCGGCCCTGCCCTGAGCTAGCCAGGCGTCTGTTTTACATGAGGTCGTGTTTCCCTTTCTAACACAAGGAACAAAACCAAAACCAGGCCTCCACAGGACAGGCTCCCCGTTTCCTTGAAAAGCAGCTACGGTCGGAAGGCAAGAGAATTCAACCACAGCAAACAGGGGCACAGATGACAGGACACCGGCAGAGCCCCACCACCTTGAGGAGCTCTACCACACTGAGACAAGACATCCGGGAGCACAGAGGAGCCTGTCTGTTCTGCAGGGGCTCAGGACACATGGCCGAGGGGACCATGCAATACCCAGGGTGTTGCCGTGTCCTTCGCTGCGCTAGGTGCCAATAGGGTTAGGCAACGCCCTCTCACTGTCTGTGGTAGACACCCTCACTTGGGCCTGCCCCCCAGTGTGCAAGGTGGAAAGACAGACAAAACAACAGACCCAATCCTCAGGCTCTTACTTCCTCATGCAGTTGTCAGGGAGAACAGGAAAGGCACTGTTTCCATTTTTATTTTACATATTCTAACCTTTAAGTCTCACCATGACCTTGACAACCCACTCAAGGCCTCTGGACATGCCCTGCAAGAGGCATTTTCCTGAAGGACGTGCAAGTGTGGATGCTCAGAGGAACTGACATGCGGGGGCTGTCCTGAGCTCTGTCCCTCACAGAAGCCTGTCCTCAGGGTGACTACCAACCTGGCCCTGGTGCTGACCCCACTGGTCATCTCACTTTGCCAGCTGCTTGGGACGTGGAGAGAGAACAAGAATCTCCCACTGCATGCCTGACCCGGAGGTGGCCCTGATCCCCACTCCCCTCTCTTGCCTTTTATAAGCCCATCAAGGACAAAGGGCAAAGACCTCAAACACCGGCTGAGCCAAGCGTCATCCCCAAACCCTCACTGCTCACAGCCAGGCACCCAAACCATTGGCACACACCGAAGGAGCAGCTTAGCTGACCCTGCGGATGACACCAAAGGGGTTGCCTGATGCCCACGCCCCCACCCCGAGGAGCCGTGAGACTTGAATGTCTGGTCTTCATCCAGGTTCCTGACACAGAGCTCATAATGCCTCAGACTCTTCTGGGCAGTGGGAACAACACCTTGTCTAATGAGGCAACTTTTGGTGGCTCCTGGATGGGGGCTGCTCAGCACAAAGTCCAAGCCTGACCAAGAAGCTCAGAACCTTCACCCCTCCCCTCATCCTCAGGAGAGAGGAGAGGAGCTGGAGACCCAGTTAATAATCCATCGAGCCTGCGACTCCACACTCGGGACCCTCAAACCCACACCCTGGATACCTCCTTGTCTGGCTGCGCATCGGTTTCCTTTACACTAAACCAGAAAACATCAATGTTTCCCTAAGTCCTGCGAGCCGCCCTAGCCCATGACCAGGGCTGAGGAGGGTTGTGGAACCTCAGGGGTCAGACGGGTCTGGCCTGGAGCCTGCAGCACCAGGCCTGCACCCCTGGCCCTGTGTGAGCCAGCTGACCTCCAGACAAGGAGTGAACACGATTCGATGCTTTACTTGTTACACCGCCAGAGTGCTGACTACGGAATGGAGAAGCTCAGGGCCAGGGGAACAGGATCGGGGTGTTCACTGTGGCTGAAGATGCCGGACAGCGGACAAGGACATCCTTCCATATACAACAGTCAGATCAGGGAAAGCACACCTGTGCTGGATGGTCCTGTGAGGGCTTTGGGGTCTCTCTGGGCTTGCTTCTGTTGAGAGTGAGCTGCCTGCACTCCTGACAGCATAGCCCTAGAGGGGAGGCCTCCCAAGAGCTGAAACAAGCATGAGCCTGGAATATCTTCCCTCTTTCCCAAAGAAAAACAGAACCACTCCAGGCAGGCATTCCAGAGCCAGCCTTGCCCATCTCCACCCACAAGACTTTCCTCTGAGACCAAGGAGGTGCCGGAGGAAACCGCTAAAAGCAGGCACAGGGCTGGAGACACAGTCACTGATGAAACCCAGCTGAGATCTGAACAAAACTGGCCACCAAACCAGCGCGCGGCCGGCTCTCGAGCGGGAGCACTGGCGGCTGGCAGTGAGGCGCCTGCCATAAAAAGAGCCATTACTGCCTCGGGGTAACCTCACACACGCAGATTCAAGTTTCCGCAATGTGGAGTTTCCAATTATGTCCTCACCCTGGCAGCCTCTGCCAATGTTTGATAAACATTTCCTACCAAAATAACTTTATGGAGGCTGCGGCCAACTCTAAAAGGAAATTTCAGATCAGCTTGCACCATCTAAGAAGAAGTAATTATAGGCTGCATCCCCACAAAGCACTGAGCCCCTCTTTAGTGCAGAAAGCAGCCCGGGCAGAATGGCACTTACCTTTTGGTATCATAGTCAATTAAAACGTAATTCTCCATAGCGAGCTTGAGATCTGGGATTTCTTCACAGACCCATCTGCAATGGAAAAGCAGGGACAACAGTGACTGCTATTTATTTGTGCTCCACTTTTTATACTCAGTTTCTTAAACACTGTTCACTAAGGTGTAAAAACAATATCCCCATTACTCCGCTCAAAACGTGAGAGAGAACGGAGGTATTACTTCAAAATAAATGCTGTTAAGTTTATGGTGCTGTGAACTACACAGATTTTTTTTTTCTTTTCTTTTTTCTTTTTTTTTGTCCTTTTTGAGACTGGCCACACCGCGCTCAGCCAGTGAGCGCTGTGAGCGCACTGGTCATCCCTATATAGGATCCGAACCCGCGGCGGGAGCGCTACTGCGCTCCCAGCGCGGCACCCTCCCAAGTGCGCCACGGGCTCGGCCCAACTACACAGATTTCATGTGGCTTCAGGGTCAAACAATGTCAGTTCTCGGGAGATGAATAAATCCACATGTCACAGGGTCTAGGGAACCAATTGGCACCAATCAGAGCACAACTTCTCAACTAAAAAACAAAGAGAATTATTATTTGAAGAATTAACTAATTCTAAAACAAACAACAGAGCTTCAACAAACACACTACAAGGAAAAAACGAGACAGGAAAATACACCAACCAATCACAACTTCTAACCCTTACTCGATACTGATACAATCACGAAAAAATCAAGAAAGAGGAGTCATCGCCACAGACCTTACAGCTAAAAAGAGGACAATAAGGGACATTATGAAAAATGGCAGGCCAATACACTCAACAACTTAGATGAAATGAACAAATTCCCTGAAGGACACAAATCATCAAAACTGTCACAAGAAGAAACAGAACTTCTCAAGAGCTCTATGCCTTTTAAAGAACTTGGTCTCCTAATCGAATACCTTCCCACTAAGAAAACTCCAGGCCCTGGTGGCTTCACTGGTGAACTCAACCCAACACTGAAGACAACCTAACACTATTCCTACAAAAACCTTTTCAGGGCCGGCCCGGTGGCGCACTGCTACAGTGCGTCGCTTGGGAGCGCGGTGGCGCTCCCGCCGAGGGTTCGGATCCCACATACAGACCGGTTCCCGCTCACTGGCTGAGCGAGGTGCGGGTGCGACAGGGAGGGTTGTGATCCCGTTGCCGGTCCCGGTCTGGTATGGGTGCGACACTGAGGGTTGCAATCCATTGCTGGACACGAAAAAAGACAAAAAGGGGAAAAAACAAACAAAAAAAAAAAAAACCCCTTTTCATAGTTTAATGAGGCCAGCATTACCCTGCTACCAAACCAGAGAACACAAAAGGTTGTAAAGGTAAAGTTGTTACAAGAAAGGAAATCTGCAGACCCACGTCCCTTATGAACACAGACAGAAACATCCTTTAAAAATATTAGCAACTGGGTGGCGCACTGGACAGTGCGCCGCTTGGGAAGCGCAGTGGCGCTCCCGCCCGAGGGTTCGGATCCCACATACAGACCGGTTCCCGCTCACTGGCTGAGCGAGGCGCGGGAGCAACACCGAGGGTTGCAATCCCGTTGCCGGTATCCGGTCCGGTGCGGGGGCAACACTGAGGGTTGCGATCCATTGCCGGACATGGAAAAAGAAAAAAAATAATAATAATAAAAAAATTAGCAACTGGGGCCGGCCTGTGGCTCACTTGGGAGAGCGTGGTGCTGACAACACCAAGTCACGGGTTCGGATCCCTATATAGGAATGGCCGGTTAGCTCACTTGGGAGAGCGTGGTGCTGACAGATCCCCTTTCTGGTCATCTTTAAAAAAAAAAAAAAAAAAAAAAAAAAAAAGGTCCTTCTCCCCAACTGAACTGCAGACTCAAAGGAATACCTATAAAAGTCCAGTAGGCTGTTTTAACAAAAGAGAAGTTGAAAAAGGTCGAAAACCTAGAACAGCCAAAGTCACCTTTATTTTTTATTTTTTTGGCGGCTGGCCGCCACAGAGATCTCAACTCTTGGCTCCTGTTACAAGGCAGCACTCTAACCAAGCTAACCGGCCAGCCCAAAGTTGTCTTTAAAAAAGAGCCACATGCTGGAAGACCTACACCACCTGGTTCTGAAACACCAGTCGTGTAAAGAATGACAGTGTTTGCTGTGTGGCAAGAACACCACAGACACTCCTGGAGCAAGTGAAAACGACAGAGGCCTGTGGAGTCCAACTCTGAGGAAGCTGCTTCGGTGCTGGTGATGCAGAGGGAGGAAACGGAGTCTCAGGACAGGAGATGTCAGTTTCGGAGGGCCTGCCCACACACTCAGAGGCCCAGGTATTCCACCCTGGACTCCCACTACCTCAGGACAAGCTATCGATCTTCTCCCCAGAAATAAGCCCCCGTTCACACAGGCGCACATGCCCAACTCCTCAGGAGGAGCATGTGGAGCCCAGCTCAGATCTTGCTGAGAACCCCCCTGGGGTCGCCTCCAATTCCACACCCCACCCTGGCTCCTTCCCAGCAGGAACAGGTACATCCCCCCTGCTGACCTGAGCCCCCAAGTGTAACACTAGAGCGTGGTCAGAGGGAACCTCACGCTTTGTGTGCTGAGACCCTGACCCAGAGGAGCTGTCCTCAGGTGCTGCTGGCAGAAGAGGACCTCGTCTGCTATCTTCTCATGCTTTGCCAGTGCTCAGAGGGTCTAACAGAGACTGCCCTGCACTCTCACCAGCAACTGGAGGGCACCCCCCCCATCCATAAAAGGCACGAGACCAAACCAGGGAAAGAGACACACCCAGTTCAGTGCATGGGCCATGTGCCCGGCAGGTAGAGAGCCAGGGCAGGTTACATCCAGAGGGCATCCACACTCACGGTTGTCCCAAGAAACGGAGACACTGACAACCTTGAGTGCAAACATACCAACTGGCAAGGGTGAGCTGCAGCCCAGAGAGTGACAGACACCCAGCGGGCAGCATAAGAAGCAAGGGCGGCCTGGCCCTGAACACTGGGCGGTGGTCCAAGCGCCCACCTCCTGGTACCGCCTGTGTGCCCAGCAATGTTCCTGGCCCCTCACTGTCCAGGTGAGAAACTGAGGCAGAGGAAGGTTCACAGGAGCATATGTCGGGGGCTGGAACCCAAGCTGCCTGATCCAGAGCCCTCCCTCTCAACTCCAATACTCCCCTAGCTCACCGGCAGTCTTCTTTAAAAACAAATTCAAAAATCAAACTGAGCCAACAAATTCTCAACACCAACCCTGGGTCAGGCCCACCCTGCATGAGTACACAAATCACTTCATTTGGTCCTCAAAACAGCCTTGCAAGCGAGGTACTGCTTAGCCCCAGAGCAAACCAAAGGAGCTCAGGGAGCTGGGGTGCCCTGTGCAGTGGCCCAGCTGACAGGGAGCAGGACAGGACGCACCGCCTGGCCGTGCATGCACGGGGGTGGCTACACATTAAGGGTGTGGAGAAACAACACCTCTGGCCACGGGATATCCAGAACAAAGAGCAGCACTCCTCGGCCTCCCAGTGGGCAGCAGCATGGCTACAGCCCTGTCAAAGTCCAGGATGGAGAGAAAGCCCCCTAGACTCAGGACAGAGGCCGGCCTTCTCCTGTTGCCATCCCAGTCACCTGCCTAATGCTTCTCGGCACGCTCACATGATGCGCACGCAGAAAGTTGTCGAGGGACATGTTAGGTGCAGGTCAGCCCGCAGGGGCTGGCACGAGTTAGCACAAAATGCAAGGGGTGGAGACTGATGCAGAGAGGAAAGCACGGGATGAGGCCCCCCAGCTCAGGAATGCCCACTGTACAGCAAGCCAAAGCTCAAAGAAGCCACCCGCCCCGCCAGGCCATGCTGCGAGAGCGAGCACCTCGTCAACCCTGGACCAGCACTGCGATCCGTAGAGCAATGTCTCTGGGAGATGCTGACGTAAGGAATGGACCATCAAGGGAACATGCAAGCTGGAAAGCCCCAGGAGACAGGCTGACTTCATGCCAGAGTTCTGAGCGCCCCGTCTCCAAATGTCCCCCTGCAAGACCTCCCAAGTGCCAGAGCACAGGTCTGTGCACGCCAGGCCTGGCTCATGGCTCTGCAGACACCCCCCCACCCCTGCACCCCGGCTGCCACACCAGCCGTTGCCTGGGACTCACCGGATAGTCTCAATGATTTCATGAGCAGCATCATGGTGTTTGTCCTGAAACAGAAAGGGACAGAGTTTTAGAGCCGCTGAGCCATCCACCCACGTGTGATTGTGGAGCTGGTGATCTCGGGTAACCACTTCCCACTCTTTCCACCTTTCAACTGATGCAGCTCCCAAGCCCTCCACATGGGCAGGGACCACCAGACACACCCCCATTTGGGGCTCTGGGAGCTTTCCTGGACCACGCAGGAAACGTTGACTTTGCTGAGGACTCTTCCCGGCAGACTCTCCCCCACCAGGCAGCAGGGACAAGGCCTGGCATGGAGTCCACGCACCTCACCCCCATGCCAGTTCAACACCCCACAGGGATCCGCAAACTCCTCTGACCGAACCCCCAGCGGTTAGAAACAGACCAAACCCATGCCCGCCTCCATGCACACCACGGCCATGTGCTACAATGCTGACAGAGAAGACACACACACAAAGAAATGAAAAGGATGAGGAGGCAAGGGGCAGAGACCCCCAGTGCTCCTGCCCCTCAACGGGCAGTGCTGCGGGGCCAGGAGCACATCCCCAGTCTGGAAACAATGCCCGCTCCTCCTCCTGCCCACGGGGCTCCTGTCCTGTGCTCACCACGCCTCCATCCAAAAACCACAACAAACTACATTTCCCCAACTGCTGATGGTAGTGGACACGCCCTGAATAAAAGCCACACCCACTCCACCAAGAGGAGCATGGCCCCCCCACACGCACAGACAGACACACACACACACACACACACCACACTGACACATGCTACACGGTGGATGGACACTGAAAACATCATGCCAGGGTTGGCTGGTTAGCTCAGCCTTGGAACACCAAGGTCACAGGTTCAAATCCCCGTACTAGCCAGCCACCAAAAAAAGATAAAAGACAATTTCACACTCAGTGACAGACGCCAGACACAAAAGGCCACACGGTGTGTGACTCCACTTACATGAAATGTCCAGAACAGGCCAATCCACAGAGACAAAAATAGATCCGTGGTTGGCAGGGGCTGGGGGAGGGGATGAGGAGTGATGGCTGATGGGGACAGGGCTTCCTTTTGGGGCGATGAGAATGTTTTAAAACGCTGTGGTGATGGTTGCACAACTCTGAATATACTACAAGCCAGTGAATAGCACACTTTATTTTTATTTTGCTTTTTTGGTGGTTGCACGGGGAGAACTGCACACTTTAAATGGGTGAATTACCAATCCCTGCACTGGCCAGGCCCAAAAAGAAAAACAAAAAAAGGGCTAGCTGGTTAGCTTGCTTGATAGAGTGTGGAGCTGCTAACACCAAGGTCAAGGGTTTGGATCCCCATACCCCAGCCTCCAACAACAATAGATAATATCAGTGGGTGAACTAGGCTGGCCTGTTAGCTCAGGTGGTTAGAATGGGCTGTTATAACACCAAGGTCCAGGGTTCAGATACCCAAACTGACCAGCCCCCCAAAAAAGAAAGAAATAGATGAATTATATGGTTATGTGGATTATACCTCAAAGAAGCTACATTAACCCAAAACTCCATGGGAGTAAATGCAGCGTGTCACCCCCGACCGCAGCAGGAAAAGACTGTGTTTCTAAGACATTCACCTGACTAACCTACCCTGTGGTTGGTCAACAATGTTTAATGAGACCCTAATACACAGCCTTGGCAGGAGAGTTCTCACAGCTCCTGTACCCACTGACCCTGCAAAGGAGGGAGGCTGACCTGTAGAAGAGACCATCAGGTGCACTCAGTGAATGACGGAAGGAGAGGTTGTTCTTACAGAAGCCAGGAGGGTCAGGTGAGTCTGGAACGTGGGAAAGCCTCTCTCTCCTGCCGCCGAGCCACGAGCAGCCCTGTGGGGAGGCCACCAGCCGCGCGAGGGGCCATTCTGGAAGCAGAACCACAGCCTAGCCTACCTGTCCACTGTGGCCTCGTGAGACACTGAGTCAGAAACCCCCACTCAGTTGCTCCCCAACTGCTGACCCTCAGATGCTCTGCGAAATAAGAAACATTTCTTGCTCTAAGCTGCTGGATTTTGGGTTAGCTTGTTACACAGCAAGAGACAGGGAGGATACAGATTTTGTGTCAGGGCTGATGAACTATGCTGGAGCATGAATTCTACAGTAATAGGAGTTAGTTGGTGGCAACAACAGAAAAGCCCCTCACCAAAAGTTCCTGACTTGGGTTATCCCCATGAGGTTAGAAAACAGGATGCACAATCTTGCAAAGCCGAGCTCCATGTGGCAGGTGAGGCTGAGTGCCAATGTGCCCCTGGGCTCAGTCCCGATGGAGACCCCATACAGAGTGTCCTCAGCCTCCTCACCCTAAAGAGGCTGAAAGAGCTTGTTTGAGGACCTCGCTGGAGCTCACGTGACTGGAAGGTCTGGGGCTAAAATGCAGCCCTGTTTCCTGCCACAGTCTTAGTCCAAATCACGCAGGCCTAGACAGGCAAAGGCGCCTGGGATCTGGTCTCATCTGTAATGAGATGAATTGAGCTTTCCCAAGAAAGCGCTAAACCAGAAAGAAAAAAGAAAAGAAAAAAACACACAGAAGAAATGGAAGGGAAAAAAAGTTTACAACTGCCCTTCCTGGAACCTGGGCATGACCCTGCCAGGATCGGCCAGTTTCCAGACAGTCCTCAGACAGTCCTGAGATGAGTCATGTGAGCTGCCTGGAACCTATCAGCAACTGCTCAGCAGCGACCTCCTGCTGCTGCTGCCCAGACCTCAGGAAAGGAATCAGCAAGAAGTCACCTGGAAGAGGTCCCCCCCCTCCCCCACAGGCCACAGGTCTGACCCACAGCAGCAACTCCTACTGCTGAGTAAGTGACCAACCCGTTTTCTTCTCACTGATAGCAATGGAGCATCCAGAGGAGGCAGCTGGAAGAGGTTCTTCTAGACAGAACCCTGGCTAAGCAGAATGTGACAAGGAAGCTGGACGAAGGCTGTGTGGGGGGTTCCCTGTCCCAGTTCCTCTATTCTGGGGATCATCTGAAAATCCCCTTAATAATAAATGCAATCACTCAGCAGTTGAGCCCCCCACACACACACCCGGCAGGTCCTCAGAGCCTCATTTCACAGTGAGGAGCTAAGACGGGAGTGTCTCCTAGGCCCCTGGCTTCAAGGACCCTGGGGCCACCATCCTAAACACTTACACATTCTCGCTACTTACTTTGTGTTTATTTTGAGAGTCTGCACGGCTTCTGGAGAGTTCTATACCTACGGTCTACAGTCAGACACTCACGCAAGAGGCAGAGATGAGGAAAGAAACTGCAAGACAAAGTGGTTTGCACACACAGGGAAGGGGCACAAGGAGTGCCCTGCAGACGTGTTACTGCACCTGACCTGCCTGAGACCAGCACGCTCACCACCACCATTCTGCAGCAAGGGAGACTGAACACAGAGTTACACAGGGGCGGGGCTGGACTCGGACCCTGCCCCCTCAGGGACAGGACATGTCCTACCCAAGGCAGGATGCTTCTAGAATCATGCAGGATCCCAGGGCAAACTCAAGTCCTCCACAGCAGGGGTCTTCACTGATGAGAATCAGAAGCCCCTGCTTTCCCGCAAACTTTCCGATTCAGCAGGTCTAGGGTGGGCCCAGGAACCTGCATCTCCCACAAGTTCCCTGGTGGGCAGGGACACATTCTGAGAACCACCCTCCTAAAGACAAACCGGGCAGGGCGGACCACATTCTGCATCTTCATTTGCTTGGGTGGCAACATTCAACCACCTGCTGCTTGCAAACTTCTTATGAAAAAATAAGAAGCTTAACTTGGCAGGGTGGGATGCTCTCCCTTCTATCTTTATTAAGCCCTGGGGAGCCAGGAAATGATAATCACTCATTTACATAAACCTCCCACCAGATGGAAAAGTGAGATCCCAGAACCAGGCACTGGTAGAGAGGGCACCTGTTTGTCCTCTTAGGGTGTGGCCCTCACTTCTGAGTGGCTCCGCCTACCTCTGGAGCGCAGGGGGGTGGGGGGAAGCGAGTCAGGCCAGTGCTGGGTGGTTCTGTCACTTGCTAATGTGCACACTCACACACACACAGATACACGCACATGGCTCCAAAAAGCCCAGCCAGGCGGGCACAGGACTCCTGGTGGAGGCCACTCCCAGGCGCCGCATGGACACAGCAGCCCTGTCCCAGCCAGAGTGGACAGGCTGCAACTTGGGAATGGACTGTCGACAGAAAATGGGACAGGTGAACAGACGGTTTTAAAGTGCAGCAGGATGAAGGGAGAAGAGGGAAGCCTTTCCGGCGGCGATGGAACCTGCAGCTGTGTGTGTTTCTGTCCGTCTGTCTGTCCTAACAGTAGGACTCAGGGGCAGAGATCTGGCTGGAAGGGAGAAGAGGGTGCTCCTCAGCTCACCTCCCCATGTGCAGGGAGGAACCCTGGGGGGGCGGGGCTCACAAGCCAGGCTGGGGTGGGCTGCAAGGGGCCCAAGCTGTGCCCCCAACAGGCCGAGGAGGACAGTGGTCAGAGTGTCCCTCACTCACCTCAAGGGAAAGGTTGTGGAGTAACAAAAAGAGAGCCAAGAGCTCCAGAAGGACTCAGAGTCGGGAAGGAAGCACCACAAGGGGGCCGAATGGGGACCTAGAAACCCCTGAGCAAGGTCAGGCACCAGGCCCCGCTCGTGCCAGGAAGCTGTAAACAGACGCCGGTGCTCCGGGAGAGAGAAAGAGTCCACAGCCGTGAGCAGCAGGAACACAGCGCTCCTGGGTGGTGGTCAGTCCGGGGATCCTGCCTGACCTGCCGAACTTCTCGATCAGGCTAGAGTCACCGGGCGCATCATCAGCCTGGCTGACCAATCTCAGAGAGCGATCAGCGTTGGATGACAAGTTGCATGTCACCAGTGAGATGAACCACAACACTGTGCCAGTGAGAGGTGAACTACAAAGGGCTCAGCACAGGTGCCCCACAAGGTCCTCAAGAGACCCCACCTCCCAGCTAATCCACAGAAGGACAGGCCAACCAGACGGGGCACAGCAAGGAAGAGGCTGCAGCCAGGGAAGGGCGCCACACTGGGGCATG